CGCTCGGCGCAGAGGGGGGGCGGTTTCCGGCGCTCGGCGGGGGGGCGGCGCGGCGCTCGGAGGGGGGGGCTTGGAGGCGGCGCTCTTTTTTTGCTGCTTGGGGCAGCAAAAAAGCTAGAGCCGGCCCTGCTGAAACCAAGTGATTAGATATAACTCCTCACAGACAGATAATATTTTTTAATAACAGGGAGCTTCTCTTCCCCCAACATTCACCTCCTCCTAACACACTCTGCTCCCCCAAGGGGCTCAGATGTTTTTATGCAGCCTAGTCGCCTATCCCAGGAACAGCGCTGCCCCCCCGCCCCCCAGACACAATTACTGGGAGTTTGTTCAAGCAGAGGCACAAGATTCTAATATCGCCTAGCACTGGCTGAGGTGCCCAGACCCCGATTCCCATAGAAATCAAAGCCCAGAGGACTCAGTTTGAAATAATACTCTCCCTGGTTTCTTGGAATCGATTGTATCCCCCACCCCTACAGACTCATCCATACATTTCACCATTCCCCTTATTATAACACTGATATAAAGTGAAAATGTTCTGACCTCTGCCTGACACCTCCACACCTGTTCACTGCCACCCCACAGACACCTTATCCCTACCCCCTGTCCTCCCACTGCCATTCCCACCTCACAGAGACCCTCACAGCAGGGCTTATTCCCCTGCCTTCCGTATCTACCCCCTAATATCCCCCCCTCAACTACCTTCCCCCCAGGAAGACCCCCATGAGCAGAGCCCCTCCTCTGTTTTACTCATAGGTATTAGCTTACAAAAGCGGTAGCTTTTGGAGTGGCTCTAAACTGGTGTTTAGGGATTTGGGATCATTGAAGGCAGGTGCAGATTTGTCCCTCAAGGCAAAGTATAATCAGGATCCCACCACAGTGTGCTAGGCGCTGTACACACATAGGGAAAGGTTCAGCCTGGCTCCTCCTCTCTCAACCATTGTGCAAGTGATTCGGGGCCATAAGGGAAGAGTTTGTCTCTCTTTATAAGGAGCAGGATATGTAAATGGGGGTGTCGGTTTCCTGTTTAAATCTGCCCCTCTCTCTGCCCAGGCTGCACTGGGAGAGACAATCCGCAGCCCCTGGGTCTGTGCAGTGACCAGCCAACCCCCCTGAGAACTTTCCTCTCCAACGTCTGGGAAAATGAGACTTTGGCTTCACTTACTTTTCATTGTAGCGGCTTTGTCGGGTATTTTCTCCACCTGAACACATTGAAGATGCAGGAGCATGTTATATTTTTGGCCTAAATGTCGTTATATCGTAAACACGTTTTTATGTATTTCTTTGCCTCCTTTTAATTGATGGAGAATGTATTTAATGTGACTGGTTCCTTCCCTGTTCCCTGTTTTCTCTCCTCCCTCATCCCTCCTCTCCAGGGGCCCGTTCGCAGGTTGTTCTGACCCAATCAGGTCCCGAAGTGAAGCAGCCCCGGGAATCCACCCAGCTGAAATGCACCATGAGCGGGTTTGTTCCTAACGACCGGTGGATGGCTTGGGTCAGGCAGCAGCCGGGAAAGGGACTGGAGTGGCTGGTCCGCTATCACCAATCTTCAGTCACAAATTACCACTCCCCCTCCGTCCAGGGCCGATTCACAGCCTCCAAGGACAGCTCCAACTTCTACCTGCAAATGACCAGCCTGAAAGCGGAGGACACCGCTGTGTATTACTGCGCGAGAGACACTGACACACAGTGAGGGGAAGCCAGTCTGCACTCACACAAAACCATCCACACTTTAGAGACTGGGGAAGGGATTTCCTGCGGGTGGCATTCATGCTCCACAGCAATACGAACTGACACAAAGTATCTCCCCTTACGGACACGGCACAGAGCTGTAGGAGGAGACAGAGGCTCTGCTGATCCCATCCCCCTGGGGAGCGCAGGGAGCAGATGCCCAGGGTGTATTTCACGGAGCAGGAGGAAAGAACAGGTGCATCCGCCCTTGAGCTGTGGATGCGCCCAGTGACCCACCAGATCAGACACACCGACTCCGTATCCCGCCTTCGCCCACTGAAGTCAATGGAGAAGCTGAGACCTTGGCGAAGAGCAGTGGGATCGCTGAGCCCAGTGTGAGTACTATGCACTGGAAAGGCGGGGGGGGGGGGGGGGTGGTGTGTCAGTGATCTATCGCTTTTGTACCGAGGCTGATAATCCTCTGTGACTGAAATTCACTCTATTCCCAGGAGCCAGCACAAGGTCCTCTTCAGCTGCCGTGCCCTGCCACCTAAGGCCCTTTTGTAGAATGTATCCACAGAGATGGTTTTTATCCCATCTCCGCAGCTCTGACTCTTCTCCTCAAAACGATTTCCAGAAATGTAGGGGGGAAAAAACAACAAAACACAGAAATATTCCGGAGCGTCTTTGCAAAGTCTGTTTCCGCACTCAGTGACCAGGTTACCCTGAGAACGCAATGGATCGATAACGTAGCTCGCTCCTAACTGATAACTCTTGATAGCAACAATAAAGAGCGGGTAGGAGGCAAAGATAGATAGATAGATAGATTGTATTTCTGATATAAATTGCACATTGCACTTTCTGCTGCTATATTAATGCCAAGCAAACCAGTGGAAGGAAAATATACTCAGAAGGCAAATCAGGAATCTATAGGCTGACCCTGCTGGGAGTTGCTTAGGGAATGAAGGAGGCAGGAGAACTAAATACTAGTCCCTCTGACTGCTCTGGTTTAAATGGATCCGGTGTCCGGCGGGGGGAAGGCTGGAGTGGATGGGGAATATCTTGCATTCAGCTGGTGGCTCGCCCACGAACTACGCCGGGGATCTGCAGAGACGACTGACCATCAGCCAAGAGCTTCCAAGAGCCAGTTCTCCCTGCATCTGGGCGCGCTAACAGCTGCAGATACCTCCACCTATTACTGTGCCCGGGGGATACACACGCACACACCGGGGTGCACAGTGATGCAGTGCAGCAGGGGCACCTACAAAAAGGAGAAGCGGGTTTTCACAGTGTACGCAGAGAACTACTAATGCTTCCGATCTTTGGGGTGAACTGGGGTTTTCCTTCTCTATCCCATCGACCCTGTCGTCACTTCAGATTGGCATGATATAGCTGTCTGCACCGGCATAATGCCCAGGCCTGAGAGGGGTTAAAATCAGGGCCCCCAGGATTTTATACGGTGGCAAATCTTGTTGATATGCAACCCTGACTAAAAATATATTGCAAATATAGCATGGGAACTTTACCTTAAGCATATCCCTTGTGCACAGGGCAAGCGTATTCCTTTCTTCTGTAATATAACGCGGCAAAACTCCACGGTAACTATACTATCTCCTTCAGACCAGAAACACCTGCCTTTGCACCCAGTTTATAAAGTATGAGTGTTATTATGTAAAAGAAGGAAAACCAGACTAATGCAAGAATGATGGATCACTACATAGATGGGACGTATGTGTAGGGAGAGGGAGAGAGAGAGAGAGACAGACAGACAGACAGAACGAACGTGTCTTCGAATGTGTTTTACAAAATACTTAGTTCATGGTTGGATTCTGTATTGACAGCAAGAAAACGAACAACGGGAAACTTCACAAGGAAAGCGCAGAAGAGGAACAGAGACCTCTGAATTGCTCAGAATTACAGCAGTGTAAAGATCAAGAAGGATTATTCTGTGGCTGGTGTTAGAACAAAACGACAATGAGCATTGACAGTAACTCAAGTGGTGCCAAGGATCAGAAATGTAATTTATGCTCGAAAATACTTTCTTGCAAAGCATTGCCAAAGATAAACATTCACCACACAGATATTATCCAGATTATGAGCCTGGGTCATTTCCACAAGGGGACCTGGCAGAGAACACATGGGATATGATATCGAATGGAGGGGGAGAAGGGATATTCTTAGACAGTTATTGTCTTCTGAGGGCAGCAGACATAAACCCACTAACTAATGTCACCCAGAGCATGTTAATATCAGCTGAAAGACTCTCATTTAACTCAGTGCATTGTAATAAAACCCTTATTCGCTATAAATGTATCTCTGGCTGCACAGTAAATGCAGCGTGTTGCTAATATGATCAATCTCTACCGAACACGGGATAGTATTTAAGAGATGGGGTGAGAGAGTTAAAGGCCCAGAACCTACTGAATTTTAATGCCATTTGGTTCTTAATTCCCTTGGGCTCTTTTGAAATCCCATCCAAAAGCGCGGGAGAAGGGGTATCATTTCTCTTCTCCAGATATCCCTTCATTCCAAAGGCGGCGCTGTCCTGCACTTACATTTGAATGAGAATTTCAAAGTCCTTTGAGAGCGTTAAATGACCAAATGCTATTTATTTAAACTGAGTTTGGGCGTCCAAGTACCTTGGGCGGTTTCACATTTTGCTGAGCTGAACTCACTGTCTCAGGGGGTAGGGCACGTTCCTAGGAGAGATCCCCATGTGTAGACAGAGTTCACACCCTGTCATCTCTTATATTAATTCTGGGAAACCCCCATGCAAATCCCTGCCCGGAGGGTTCCTCTTTAAATACAACCCCCTGATTGGAGAAGCCTCAGTCTCCCTCCAGACACAGAACTGCCCGGGCCTGGCTGCTGGGGATAATTTGCACCTTCACTTAAGATGAATCTGCTACTGATTTTCCTGTTCATGCTGGAGGCCCCTTCAGGTACGTGTCTGTTGGGGGTCGGGGGGTTCCTTGCTGCAGTGACTCCAGAAGAGATGTTCAAGGCAGTCTAAGGGAATGAGATGCCCGGATCCAAATGCAATTCAGTGGCAGTTGGGTGCCTCACTCCCTTAGTCGCCATCTCAGGGTGTTTAATTGTCTCATGTTCCCCACTCCCAGGGGATAGGAGCCTGGCTCACGGATTCATTTCTGTGTCTCCTTCCCAGGTGTCCTCTCCCAAGTGCAGCTGAAGGAAATCGGTCCACAAGCGGTGAAACCTGGGGAGTCCCTGACACTCACTTGTACCATCTCCGGAGACTCGGTTTCTAGCACCAGAGCCACCTGGGACTGGTTCCGGCAGCCCGCGGGAAAGCGGCCGGAATGGATGGGGTGCACATGGTACAGGTCTGGCAGTTGGTACACTGAGTACCCCAGCTCTCTGCAGAGTCGAATGACCATCACACAAGACACTTCCAAGAACCAGTTCTCCCTGCAGCTCCGCTCGCTGACAGCTGCAGACACCGCCACCTATTACTGCTCGGGGAGAGACACACAGTGACACAGAGCAAAGCAGGGACCGATACAAAAAGGGGAAGCAGTTTTTCCACAGTGCAGTGATGTTCTGGCTACCGTGACATTGGTAACACCGTGGGGATTCTAGACCTCATTCTCCATGGCCTTTACCCAGGTGTAGTCATTTTCAATTTGCAATGGAAGGGGAACGAATTAGTGACTCTAGCAATCAGTCAGTGACTCTGTTCCCATTGAGTTCTTTGAGGGATGTGGGCATCTGAATTAGGAAAAAATTCTCCTCTTAAAAGAATATTATAAGGAACTTAACTGTGTTCAAAGTACACATGCACACAAACTACCTGTATTCCTTTGAGATGATTTCAATCTATGTCTGCCTCCTCCGAAAGAAAAAGTCAAAAAGCCACAGTAAACATATATATTCAATATATCTAGGACCTCCTGTAAAACGTATCACCCTCTATGTGCCTCTGATTTTTCATTATATGTGTTATGCTACGAGATATAAAAAGTAAGAGTGAAAGAACAATAACTCACATTACCGCCAATAGAGTTACCCCTCACACAGGGTGTGAACAACAGGAGAAAAAGCCTGTCTTCTGAGTTTGTAGATGAACACAAATCTAATGAGAAAAGTAGCCACCTAACTCCCGTGGAGGTGTTATGTTATATCTCCTCCTCCCCGCGTCCCACAATCCATTGGGACCAGAGTCCTTCAAATCTCAAATGTATTTTCTCCTTCTGTTGTAAAATGAGGACAAGTCCCTGAGAGCGCACCCTCCTTTAACCTGAAATCTTGCCAGCCACTTTCACCTCTCGCCCCCACCCCCGGTTGGGTCAAGCCGACCAATATGGCCCTGCCTCAGTGGGTCCCTGTTTAAATACAAAGCTCTGATTCTAGACACATGTGACATGGTTGGGATTCACCACCTGGCGCCTCCTACTGGTTGTCTCAGGAATTAGCTCTGTCCAGTGGAGCGCCCCTTCCTGGTGGTGTCCCATTCGTTGTCTAGCCCTCGGTTGGCGTGTCCGGACCTGCGTTGCTCCCAAGCTTGTGGCATCCATTTCGAGCTTGCCCCTTAGTCCATCCTCGCCGCCTTCGGGGGGGGGGGGGATCAATCAGCTGCCTCTCTGCGACCTGGTCGATGTGGCCAACTGCACCCTCAAAGTCACTCCCCTCTTGGCGGGGGATTGGTGCAGCTCTAGATGACCGCTCCATTGGCCGTGTGCAAGGTAAGGGGGAAGGGGGGGACCCAGGCCCGCCCACTACTCTGGGTCCCAACCCAGGGACCTTCTAGTGGCAGCCGTCCTGCCCTCCTTCTCTCCCTCCATCTGTCCACGTCCCTGGGCCACTTCCCCTTCGGCCCCTAGCACCGGCTAGGCCCTTCCCTTCAGGGCCTGCAGCCTGACAGACTCTGGGCTGGAGCTACCTTCTGCTCCCCCCCAGGCCTGCCCAGTACTGCACTATCCCAGGTGCTAGTCTCCCAGCCTGGAGACAGACCTTCACTGTCAAAGGCCTGGGACAGACTGCCTGCTCCTGTCCTGAGTAGCT